AAAATGTTGTGTACGAACATCAATCGTTTTCAAGTCACTATTGTATCGGTTCAAACGAACGGAATACCTGAATACGGTATTTGTTCCAGGTTTGCATTGTAAGCATTGTTACGAAGTAAGCGGATACGGAATGAATTTCTATGGGCTTGTAGAGTTTTGCTGTTCATTCTTGAACGGTTATATAGAATAAAAAAATTGCCTTGAATTTTATATTTTAATTAATTTAATATTACATTTTCACATCATAAATAATAAATTTCGTGTTCCAACTCAACACCACTTCGCTTTTATCTCATTAATAATAAATGTAAATCATATTCAGGATGAAGATATTAATTTTTTTCTCAATCATCCAGATCACCTGGAGTTATGTTCCTACCTACCCAAAAGAAAACATAAATCCCTTATTAATACAGACCTTTTTTAATTCTACCTGAGGGTATCCAAAAAAAAATATTACCTGATAAAAATCACTCCTCGTTAATTTCAACAACTATCAAAACAAAAAAGAACTTTCTCTCTTTCATAACACTCACAATATCTCAACATCTTATTTGGCCTCATTGGTAGTTTATCAATTTGACAAGATTCGTTTCTTCCTTCCTATTATACTAACAAAATATAATGTTAATGTAAATTTTGCTTCTTTCGAAACGATAAACCAGTGCAAACAAGTCTACGGGTCGTGGTGGTGTTTGAATAAACCGTGAAGGGTCATGGATCTTGATCGTGTCTGACCTTGGTTGGGTTGGTTGCTTTGTGTCATCCCATAAAGTGTGAAGAGAGGAGGAAAGGAGATATGAGAGAAGAACCGTGAGACGTGATAAATTTCACAGCCCTTATACATACACTCATAGATATTAAACTTGGAATAAAACGGGATACGTGACAAAAAGAAACTTAACAAAGAAAAAATAAGGATAAATTTTGAAAGTAAAATCTTATGTTATGTAAGGCGCAATTATGAATACAATGCGCAGTAAGTTTTGTTTATATGTTTACTCGTTGAATTGTTTGAGTCGATGTTTACGAAGAAAGAAGTAGCTGTATTAAAGAGTACAAAGTTATGTTTTTGTAATTTTTAAAAGTTAATATCTCAAAAAGTGATTGTTATTTTAGTATGCGATCGATTTCATTAAAAAGCCGATAAAATCTTTGTATATTCATGAACATTTCAAATAGATACCTCAACAAGTTGATTTTATGCAAAATTTTTAATGCGATANTTATTTTAGTATGCGATCGATTTCATTAAAAAGCCGATAAAATCTTTGTATATTCATGAAAATTTCAAATAGATACCTCAACAAGTTGATTTTATGCAAAATTTTTAATGCGATATTAACCTTGTTGAGGAATAAATGTAAGAGTTAACTTTAAAAATGAATTTCTCAAAAACAAAAAGTTCTAGTTAAAAACTGTTTTTTTCATTGAAAAGAAAACAATTTTCTCAATATTGAGTGAAAATTTCATAAAGATTTGTAATAAGATCAATTTTTAACGATTTTTTTTAAATAATGGGGAAAAATTGACAACCTTAGAAACTATCGTAATGTTTAAAAATTATTATCTCAAAAACTAATCGTTGTTTTTGAACGCAATCGATTTCATTAAAAAGCTGATAGAATCTTTATTAATTCATAAAAATTTCAAAATGATAGGGTATCACATTGATTTTTTTAAAGCGATATTAACCTTGCAAAATAATAAACGTCAATGTTAACTTTAACAATTAACTTCTCGAAAACTAAACGTTCCAACTAAAAACTGTTTGTTTCGTTGAAAATAAAACAATTTTCTTAACATTGGGTGTAAATTTCATAAAGATTTAGAATAAAACGAATTATTAGCGATTTTTTTAAAATAATCGGGAAAAATTGACAACCTTAGTAACTTTCGTAACGTTTAACAATTAATATCTCAAAAAGTAACCGTTATTTTCTAACGCGATCGATTTCGTTAAAAAGCTGATTGACTCTTTGTTTATTCATGAACGTTTTAAATAGATACTTTAACATATTCATTTTATGCGAATTTTTTAAAACGATATTAACCTTGTAAAATAATGAGTGTTAAATTTAAAAATTAATTTCTCGAAAACTTACAATTCTACTTAAAAACTGTTTTTTACATTGAAAAGAAAACAATTTTCTCGATATTGAGTGAAACTTTCATAAAAATTTCATTTAAAATGCAAGTTTAACGATTTTTTGAAAATTCTTCGATAAATTTAAAAAACCATCAACATTTTTTTAACAACTTCCAATCATTTATAGAAGATTATTAAATAATTTCCATGCACTTTCTGGTAATTTGAGGGATTTTTAAGTATTTTAGAGGATTAGAAAGGTTTTCATGGGCTATGTAAGGTATTCTGGAATTTATTGAAGACTTTCCAAGGATTGGTTAGACTTCCCAGTGTTTCTGAGTTTTACTTGAGATGCATGATTAGGAAGCTTTTCATGGGCTGTGTAAGGAATTTTGGAATTTATTGGTGATGAACATAGAAAGGGCTTTCAGTGCATATCAAAGACTTTCCAAGGATTGGTTAGACTTCCCAGTGTTTCTGCGTTTTACTTGAGATGCATGATTAGGAAGCTTTTCATGGGTTATGTAAGGTATTCTGAAATTTGTTGGCGATGGCCACAGAAAGGGCTCTCAGTACATTTCAAAGAATTTCCAAGGGTTGGTTAAGATTTCTCAGTGTTTCTGGGATTTACTTGAGATGCATGTCTCACTTTCAAATACACTGGTAGTATTTTCCAAATTTGCTAAGAATTTATAATCCAAAAAAATAATTGAAAGAATGTTTTGATTTTTTTGGATGTGTCAAGATTTCTTGAGTCGTGCCCCTGATTATTAATTCCAGTTATCCGGATATTTAAGGATTCTAAGAATATCTTGAAGAGTTTGGAAATTTCTTGAAAATTCTAAGAGACATCTAAGGATTTCTGTTATTTGTTTGGATGAGACAAAATTTTCTAACAATATTTAAGAGTATTGCAAGAATTTCTAAGGGTTGATTTAGGTTGGGTAGATTTCCAAGCAAGATTTACAACGTTTTCCACGGATACCCAAGGGTTTCAAATGACGTTTAGAGATTTCTGATTATTTTTAGAGTTTGTATTGGAACTTCTTTGTACAAGACTTTTTGTTTAGTAATTCTTCTCTGCTAGATAAGATAGTCATCTAGAATTATTCTTCGATTTATTTTTCAGAATTATGGCCAAAACACCCGAATTTCCTCTAAAACCTTTAATACGAAATTTCTCGTAACATGAGTGTTTACGAACTCCGTTGTGCCTAGGAACGCTCCCAGTACACTATTAGTAAGCTAATAGATCAAGGGTTTTACGCAGTAATTAGTTTTCCTCGAAAATAGTTAATCCCGGAAGACTTCGTTAAAATTTTTGTGGTAATTCGGAACTTCATTACAAACTTCGAATGTCCAAAGCAAATGTTCGTAGACATTAAGGGCAAGCTGAGAATTTTAAGGTCCCTGCAGTACAAAGCAATTATGAAAATGGCATTTGCGCAATTAACTATTCATAATGTAAATTTGAAAATAAAGTTAAACAGCGTTTTCTCATAAAGTAATCGAGATATTTATAAACGGATTTCTGCATTTGAATTGTCAATTAATTCTTGATAAAGCCGCATAATTAAATTTCTTCAATTTTATTAATACCCGAGAAGAAGCATACGAGTTGCTAATGAATTTTAGATAACCTCACCAAATTTAGCACCTTTACTATTAGAAATGAGGACACAAATTTCTTAATTCAACCTTAATGGCCGATTGTTTTTAAATTTATCTTTGAACAAGATTTTTAGAAAAACTAATCGAGATATAAAAAATTGGTTTAGTGCGTTCAAATCATCAATTAATTCTTAATAAAACCACAAATCTCAGTTTCCTCATTTTTATAAATAACCAAAAAAAGAAATATTGAAATTAACCTCACAAAACGCATTTTTCACCAGAATCATCAATTAATTTCAGAAACGAGAACTTTACCACATTACAACAAAGTTATTAAATTTAGTTTCACACATTAAAATATATTTGAATACATATTTCGTGCTATCATTGTTATAAATCATATTTTGTTATGAAAAATCAGTTCCTTGTAAATCTTTAGTATTGTCTCATTAACATTGTAATATAATCAGAAATACCTGAAGAGTAATGTTGCGGATAATTACGCGAAAAAGAAAATACAGGTCAAAAACAATAAGAATTATTAACAAATTCTACCTTCACATTGATATTATTATTGTCAAGGTAAATAAGCACCGCAACAATGGTCAGATACATCATTTATGTGGTTACACCCGACTCAATAACTCAACCATCAATATTAATAACAATATAATTAATCAGTGTGGCTGAAGTAACTGTTAAATTGTACAGATAACAGATGTCTAGCTTATTAAAGTTGAATAAATAGTTGAAAAACATCTTTGTAGTTTCTTAACAAGTAAACAAAAAATACATACATTGAGAAATACAAAGTCTACATTCAACGATGTGTATTTTTAGGATTATCAGCGAAAATTGTAAAAAATAACCAAAATAGAATTTTGTAAAAATAAACATAAACTCGTTGTATGTATAATTAACGCCGTATAAGTAAGTAGACGATGTCCTTCGAATTGCAAAATGACTCACACCGTGAAAATAGACCAGCTCAAATCATTTTTATTTTTTTTTAAACCTTTCTTTCTCTCTGCGGTAGTTTTGAGTGATCTGTTAAAAATAGACGCGAAACCTTATTTAAAAGCTCCCGGGGTTTTCACAATCTTCTCTTTCTTCAAAACCAGAATCTCCATTTACTTGTACTTATTACTCTTTAAAACCGGCGCGCGGTGTTTTCAAAGCGAAATCAAAGCAAAATTTATAAATAAACCAAGTGCAATTAGTGATTTAACTAAAATGTAATTGGACGTCTCACTTTATTGAGTGAATTTTTTTTTAATAAATAAATTATTTAACTCACCGGTTGTTAAAGTGTGGGCCAAAACCACCAATAAGGTAAAGTGAAGAAGTCTCATTTTGGATAAAGGTGCACCAAAAAGTTGTTAAATTTTCAATAAAAGCTTTTCAAAAACGATTGAAAAGTATGTTGAAAGCACGAAAGACACTGGAAAACTGGAAGGCGCACTGAAGCGGTTCGGTTTATTCGAAAACCTAACTCAACTACGGGATATGCCGTACTAAAGTTTCGAATCTTGTGCCAAGCGGCGCGGAATAGTCTCTCGCGGAGGATTGTACACGCATGCGCCCCCTTTTTTTGAGAATGAACTTAGGACAAAAAGTGGAGTATTAAATAACACCTTTTTTTCAACAAGGAGTTTTATAAAGGTTGTTGTTTGAATGAATAAAAATCTGCTTTCTTTCATCAAATTTCAACGTTTTTTTATTAAATCAAGTTAAAGTTAACTTTTAATTTCGAATATTTTAGAAGTTTTGAATGATTTTTTTTAAATTTTGGTTGGAGTCTAACATTTCTTAAAATTTTCTTATGAATTTCAGCAAACTTCCAAGAAAAATGAAAAATTAATGAAAGATTCCAAAAGAACATAAAAATTTTCTTTTATATGGTATTAATTTATATTTTTAAGGAATATTTTTTGATCCTTTTCAGATTGTCGGTTTAACCTATCTTACTATATAAGATATTTAAGGTTCAAAATTCTGTATTCTCCATCCTAAGTGAAGCCCAAATCAACATTAGAAATAATATGCTGTAATATGTGGTGTCCGATATTGTATCATTGTAGTGCCTCGGCCGCAAATGACCTTTGCTTAACATAGAATGCAGCATATTTTATTTCACCTAAACAAGACGAGGTCTCTTGTGGCGGAGGCACTTCAATATTGTAAGGAGGTACCAATTGTAGCGCCTCGGCTTAATCAGGTGACATCATTCAATCTTTATTCTGAATTAAGCAGAGGTCGAATAGAGAATATTTTATTCCACTTAAATAAGACAAGGTCTTTTGTTGCCGAGACACTCCAATTATATGTTGTTCAATATTGTAGGAATGTGGTATCAATTGTAGCGCCTCGGCTTAATCAGGTGAAATCACTCAATCTTTGTTCTAAAGAGGTGTCAATGTAATACGTGGTGTCATATATTGTATCATTGGAGTGCTTTGGCTGCAATCTTGGTTTAAGATTTAATGGAAAATGTCTGATTCCACTTGATTAAACCAGACATTCTCCATCCAATGTTGTATCAATGTGGCAATCATTACAAATACAAATATCTTTATTTACTGTAACAACAAATTTACAATAAAATGTCCACAAACAAGAAAAACAAAAAAATGTATTATCAATGTTAATTTTTATCAATTTCATTCACTGCCTCCCTAATAAATTCCTCAAAAGTGTAATATGCACTTTCAATTAGGTGTTTTTTTATAATTATATTGAATTTACTTCTTGACATTGCCGCAATGGAGGGTGGAACTATGTTGAAAAATTTTGGACCCCAATAGTCCATCGATTGTTGTGTTCTTGAGAGTCGGTGATATGGTGTAGCAAGTTGATAGCAAGATCTAGTTGCATAACTATGTGATTCGCCGAGTGTTTGGAAAGTATTCCTATTATCGTACACGTACATTAACACCGTATGTATGTATATACTTGGTAGGGTAAGTACTTCTTCTCTAATGAAATACTCCTTACAGCTATCACGCCGTCGCAGATTACAGAGAGCCCTAATTGCTGACTTTTGTATTTTAAATATTCTATGGAACTCAGTTGACTGTCCCCAGAATAGAATTCCGTATGATGCCACGGACTGGAAGAGGTTGAAATACGACATTTTGGCGGCTTGGTGTGTAGCTATGCTTTTCAAACGTCTTATGGTGAAAACCGCTGTTGATAACTTCTTTGATAGGGCCTCAATATGATGGTGCCAATCCAGCCGTCCATCGAGATGTAACCCGAGGAACCTCGCCTTACCGACACGATTTTCTGCTTTTGTGCTGAATATTATGCTTTCTGTTTTATTGTGATTTAGTTGCAGATTATTACTTTCAAACCATAACTGCGCTTCGTACATTGCATTGATAGACTTCTGTTTTAGTTCACGCTTGTCTTTACTTTTTACGATGATTGATGTATCGTCCGCATATAAGCCAATTTCTTCATTGACCGTGGCAGGCAAATCATTAACATATATAATGAATAGTAAGGGCCCTAAAATTGATCCTTGGGGCACACCTTGTTTTATGTTTAATAACTTGGAATTTTTATCTTTCCATTGAACGTATTGTTGGCGTTCGGAGAGGTATGAGTTTAGGAGTTCTAGTTGTACTCCTCTTATGCCATAATATTCCAGCTTGTCTAAAAGTATGTTGTGGCTTACAGTATCAAACGCCTTGGTAAGATCTAATAAGTTGATTTCCACTAGTTCTTTGTTATCAAGTGCTTCTGTAATAAAATTTATGACATTCATCATCGCTGTTGTTACCGATTTTTTCCGTCTGTATCTATGTTGGCAAGTTGTTAATAGGTTAAATTTTTCTAGGTAGTCAATCAAATGATTTGCTATAATTTGCTCAACTATTTTTGAGAAAGCTGGTAATATAGATATCGGTCTGAAATTGTCACATTGATTGCTATCACCTTTTTTGTGTACTGGTAGAATTTTTGCAATTTTTAGTTCATTTGGAAAACATCCTTCATTCACGCATTTGTTTAAAACCTTGGATAGAGGTGACGCTATCACATCGACAACTTGTTTTAGGAGGTTAGTACTAAAGTGGTAGGTGTCATTATAAACTTAAATACCTTTTTGTGCATTTTTTCAAGGTCCTAAAAAGTCATGTTGTGCGTCACAACACTTTTTTTCATCTAGTCTTAAACGTTTTTGAGAACCACAGGTAGTGACAATGTTATGTACATAACATAGCTGAGTCTACAGTGCGATCAAAAATTATTCGGATTATTCTTTATACTAATTTTTGCATCCTTTGTGTTTATATGGCGAGTAACACATCTACATCAATATGTAATGTTTTATAACTTGATGATACAACATGACGTGATATTATAATGTTTTAATCGTTACAGTTTAAATTGATACGAAACAACAAATTTTTGCATATCTTGCATATTTTTCGAGTTATCTTCATCTGGCTAACCGATTAAATGTCACTTGTCGAAAGCTAAGGAAATTAAAAAATATATAAAACAATAAAAAAGTAGAATTGGCCTTCTTTATCAATTTTTTTTTAAAAGCATGTTGCTTACAATTAACTTTGCTCAAGAATTACACATACGAGTGTAGTATATAAAAAATTCATTCTTTGTTTGAAATGTTACAGAAAAGCATAGATTTTGGTTACACGATTGACAGTGCACCATTGAATATCCATTTTTACAGTATCCAAATTCGTCATATGTCTTGAACTTTGTACTAAGATCATTTTTTTCTTGGCAAAAACAGACAGCGTTTGGTATCAGATGGCTGCCAACTCGTTTTGGTTTCTTTTCTGTCAACAAACCTGTCGCTGTGAAACTTCGAAACCTTTGAGGCAATTGCCGCAGTCTCTTTTTTGCATAAGCCATGTGCACAAAAATCCCTAGGTATCATCTCCTAGACTTTAGAGGAACACTGTACAACTCTATAATTCATTCCACCAAATATTTCCTCTTGTCATTCTTATTGCCTCTTCGTCTCGTAGTTCCTTGCGGATTAACACCAAAAAACTTGCTTCGCAAAGTAACCGTGTTATTATCAACCCATTTGACCATTATTAGTTTGTTATTTTATGCAATAAGATTAGAATGCTTTGTGAAAGTGAGTATGGTATGAACGAAAAAATCGTAGATTGTTAAAAAATATAATATAAATGTCCAAAAATCCACAATAGACAAATGAGTTTTGATGCTTCTCTCAAATCATATGGAACCTGAAAAAAATGACTAATTACAAAGAAGTAATTAGACACAAAGAAGTACCCATTCTACAAATCTTTGTTATGCAGACAATGCCATACTAACAGCGGAAAATGAGGACGACCTACAACGCAATCTGTACAAGCTGAAATATTTAATACGGAAATAGCATGCGAGAAGACCAAATCGATGGTAATTGCTTAAGACCATATCAGCGATGACGTTTAACTAGCTAGGGGTGGAAATGTAGGAACAAGCAGCTGATGGATGAAGTGAGGAATTAGGCAAATATGGCAGCGAGGACATCAAGCTGCCTATGAGATATAATATGGCGCAACAAATACATGGTGCAGAAAGCAAAGTCGGAATACATAAGACTTGTATCCAACCTATACTCACCTATGCACCTGAGACTAGTGCCGAAACACCCCACATAGAAACCAAAATGAGCACTACTAAAATGAGAACCTTAAGAAGTATAAAAGACATTACAATGTGAGACAGAATACAAAATTTGGACTTAATGAAAAATCTGAGAGTGTCCTCACATTGTTGTGAGATGGACAAGAGCACAACGTCCGCAATGGAGGGACCACGTTGACAAAGACCAGGAATCAAGCATCAAAGACCGTCCAAACTCTGGTAGGACAGGTGGATATCCTTATCACAAAAAGCCGTGAGACAGAGCAAACCGAACTATTTGCTATAGCAAAAATATTTCCGTTTTAAAATTGGCCGGAATAATCCCAAGACGTAAAAGATGCCAAAACACAATTTTCTGAATCCCAAAGTAAAGGAACTCCACATTTTTAGCAATTTTTGCGAAGGCCAGAATAATACCTTTGCAATGTTTCGCTTCTTGCCCAATGATTTGATTATATTAAGAATGTCTTTTTAATTTATGGACAGTCTTATATGGCACTTAACAAAAATATGGGTATAAAGTTAAAAAGGAAGAGTAGTCTTATTAGACTACTTAAGGCCAACTTTTACTTTTAGTCCAAATAACCTTCCAATTCCACCCAAAGATGTCAAAATAATAAATTCTAACAAAATAATTAAAGTGGACATGACACCTTCAGATTGAGTAATTTTGGGCTTGCATTCCACTAACAATAAACCTCATTTTTTAATCCCTCAATAGAAATGTCACAAATACTCTATGCGAGATTGATTTTTCACATATAGTACATAAAATTAATTAATCCGGGTTTTATAAATCTCCAAATTAACTTATAGCAAAGTTAGTCGTAAAGAAACAGTATTTTTCCAGTATATTTTTAGACAATTACGCAAACCTTTTTCCTCCATCCTATTTTCTATACAACTTATTATTTTTCGCATGAAATCCTGTTTTACAAAAACAACTTGAAAAATTGATTTCTACAAATCGATAAGTGTCAATTTCGTTGAAAATAAGAAAAATCATGGAATTCCCGAATTTTCAAGATTTATCTTTATCATCCGCCGCCCACATTTGTGCTCAATATGTTCCCCACATATCCAAATTACAAATATAGTTTACATTAAACTGCAACTGGATCGGGTAAACAAAATCCATCGTCGTAACAGCTGCCGCTGTAAAGGAAAAGGACACTAAACCGTCGTTCTGATAAAGGTGATTGCCCCGAGATGCCGACGGTTTTATCTACGGTATCTCCACCGTCTAAACCAACAATGCACTTTTTTTTCGGTAAGTTTCCTGCGTTGAGGTAAACTGCTGTGTACACACCACTCGAAACAGGGAGACACGTTCACACATCCTTTTGTAATCTAATTAGAACTAGGAACGTTTATGTGTGCACACTGTAAACTTGCGAGCAACAAGTGTTTCGTGATTCTCGGAGATTTCTACTTAGTTTAGATTTTCAAAGAAAATAAGCGATAAAGATTTTAATAAAAGTAAATTTAAGAAAATAAATAAATTTATGATTTCATCATGATTTTCGTTAATGCGCTTTTTACATTAATTTTTCAACGATTCCAAATTAAGCAGAGTGAAAATGATTCAGTTTATTATTATCAAACAATAATAGATTTCGTAAATTTCTAATAAATCTTAGCACCACTTCTATAAATAGTTTAAGTAAACCACATTTTAATATTCTCTGCAAAACAATGAATCACGCAAATATCCCGTTATAAGTATTCTAGAAAATTTTTAGATGAGATCAACCATCGTTCAAACAAATACATAACCCAAATAATTACGTGTTAAATTTGTAACTAACTCGTGTATCAGCACTAAAAATAAACAAACTCTTATATCAAAGCCTGGGAAGCTTTATCTAAGTAACTTGATAACATAAAGAACGGCAAATTCCATAATTTCTCATTTGGACAGGCGCCAGAAGTTCAACGTTACCTTGCAGCATTATTAGCACCGGGAAGTAATAATTTTCAAGAGCTATTTTGGCCATAATTAGACCGTCGCCTATAAAAGAATATAAAAACGGTTGGTTAAAGGTCAAAATTCGACCAGATTTCTTTTTAATTTAGTTGTGACCCAAACAATTTCCATCACGATGACATCACACATTTAAAAAAAAATTTGATTCACACTTGTATAGGAGATGGTCGTGGTGCATATTGACGAGACCGTGAAGTGTGTGGCCCGAAACACGTTGCGGTTAACCGAAGAAGGAGCTTTTTACAGGGAACGTGATGCTATTTTAAATTTACGGCTTTCTTTGTTGCTACGATTCACCGATGAATAAGTGGTTAATCTGTTTAGTTGGAATTCCAAAGAGTTCCAATGTTGCGTTTATGTAAGGTGACCGCGATGATTTAATTGTGTTGTAATTTTATGTTTTTATCGAAAAAAATATATAACCACAATTAGGCCATTGTAATCATCATCGCTATAAATTTCTTATTCTTCTTTTTTCTCCACTTAGGTTTAAAGTGTGTTCTTCGTCAATGATGTCTCTATTCTATGCGCAAATTGAAGCTCCATCTTTTCCTTGGTCGTCCTAGACTTCGTTTACCTAGGTGTATATATAAATGTTTGTATATTTCCCTGTAAATCGTTCTCGTTTTCGCCAAAGAGGACCGCGTCATCAGCATAACAGAAGATGACAAATTCTTGATCACCCAATTTGTAGTCCCGGCTTGTCTTTACTTTTTTTATGATGTCATCCATCATAACAGTGAATAGTAGTGGGCTCAATGAATACCCTTGTTGAATGCCAGCATTTACAGGTATTTCCTTAGTGAGTTTTTCATTTATCCGTGCTTGTATGGTGTATTCCTAATAAATATTTTCGATAGTTTTAACTATATTAATCGGTATTCCGCAGATTTATGACATCCTTTAATCTGATCTTATCAAAGGCCTTTTGTAAATCAATGAAACATAAGAATGCGGATTTATTATATTCTATTAACTTTTCTACGACTTGTCTTATCACGAATACAGCACCTGTACAGGATCTTCCTGACCTAAAGCCTTGTTGTTCTTCGACAAGTGTTGTAATGGAATTAATTTTGGTTGTGATGATCTTGGTTACTTGTTTGAGCATGGTGCTAAGTAGGTTTATGCCTCTGTAGTTGTTTGGTTCTTTCTTATCTCCTTTTCGGAACATTAGAATCATTGTGCTTGTTTTCCATGCATTTCGTATTTTTTGCTCAGTTGCAATTTTGTTTATCAGCGATGTTTATTTACGTTATTAAACTGTCTCCTCCATATTTTAGTACCTCATTTGGGATCTTGACGTGGTTTTTAAGTTTTCTTTGCGTTTCTGTGACATTTTCTTATGATATTGCAATGTCTTCGTTTGTTGTGGTTTTATTTTGTTTGTCTTCCTGTATGTTATCGGCTTTAAACACTTCTGTTGGATACTTTAATGTTTAAATTATATTTAAGTAATGTTTAAATCTATAAACGAACTGGTAGAATCTAAGCTATAAATTTAAAATCTATTTTATTCCTTTTATGAAAAATTAAAAAAAACGTCAAATTTACAGTAGCGCCATCTATTAATAATTTTAATAACACCAATATAAATTAAAATAAACTATAAATTTTATTCAATTAATAATTTTTAAATTTAATTAATTAGGTTTTATTTTTTTTATTACTTTAATTAAATAAATGTATAAAATTTAAAGAAAGAATTAAATTAAATCTTATTTTGAGTGCACCATCTTTTGGATTTTCCCTAAACTACAAACATCATCTGATTGTCAATGTCAGATGAGTAATATAAACAAACCCTGAAATGATCAAAACTTAAAGCCCACAATGATTGTAAATGAAATTTTTCAGGTCCTCACTTTGGTGAGAACTGATAATTTAGTGAAGTCTATATTTTCAATAACTGTGATTTTTTGTTGTATCTTCGCTTTTGTAGCAAGGTTAGTGTTTATTAATTTATTTGATACACAAATAACTTAGCTTACCTTATTTTTATAACAAACATTTAAAAAATCATATAATAATTATCGTAAATATAACTAACATTAATAACTTACTTAAATAATAACAAATATTTGTGAGGTTATGATTTTTTAAAGTGTTCGTCGATAGATGGCGTTATAAAACTTTAATATTTTTCAGTCCACTTGCTGCATCAATTCTATTTTTAAATTATATACTGGGAATCATCGTATGTTGGGTTTTAACGAAATATCAGGATTTTGCCTCGTTTTATTTACAAAGATTCGTCAGCTTTTATAGAATGCGTGTGGCTTTAGATAAAAGCGACCAACTTGTTTGCAACATCTGTAATGGAAAGAATTGTTCGAGGCATAAAATAGCAAAAAGGACTTTACCATGGAAGAAATTTAAAATAAATAAAAAATTAAACTCTTCAGTTATACACGTAATTTTAACAAAAAATCAAACAAATAATTTTTAATTCTTTATTTTGTTATAGTTTTATGAAAAATTAATTGAAAACTTTGTGGAATCTTGGTACGGAACGTTCACAAATGACACATCATTTTTAAATGAAATCAAATATTCCCTTCGTTATGCTACAGCTAGCGCTGCATGTAAAATATCAGAAATAGATGTTGGATCTTTAATAGCAAATAAATTAATTCCTTGCGCTATTAAACACATCGATGATTATTTATGTATGCAACAAATAGCGAAATTAAAAAGCGTCCATTTCGATAAAATTACTGCTGAATACCTCGGTAGACGTTTACACATTGCGGTTACAAACAGACAAAAAGAAATAAGTTATTTACGACATTTAACTGAATGTTTAATGCCGAATCTTTTACCTGAAGAATATCTTAAATGCAGTAATTACTCAATTTTATTAAGAGAATTATTTGCTGGATGGATTTTATTACCGATAACGGATGCTTTGGCTCATCCAAATATAATTAATCAATTAGTTATTATTGGATTAACATATAAAAGTAAAGATATTAAACCGCAACATGATGAAGAGGTTGAGATGTTGAGTGATTTTATTAAAAAAGATTTTAAATTTTCTACTTTAGCTTCTAATATGAAAGATGTATTAAAAGATAGCTCTATACTTTATCATTTTATGCAGTTTTTAAAAAGAGAAGGAAATGTGCATTTATTACAATTTTGTTTAGATATAGGTTAGTAATTAAAAAATATAATTTTGATTGTTTTAATAAATTATTTTTGATTTTTTTAGAGGAATTTAATAATAAATTAATAACACCTGATTTATCAAAAAGACAATTAGAAAGTTTACACGTCGAAGCTTATAATATTTATAAGATTTATATAAACGATTGTAGTCCTGATTATATTGGATGTCCCCAAGAAATAAGTAAAGCTTTCAGTGAACTTTTAGAAGGTGGGATGTATAATGTTGCTCGATTAAGAACATCAGAACCTTTATTTCAAGCTTATGATTATGCTTATAGTGTATTGGAAAGCGAATATTTACCAGATTTTCATCATAGCAATGAGGTAAATGAATCATAAAAAAATTTAAAATGATACAATTTTAATTTTTTAGTTTTATAATTATTTATGTGGTTCCAAAGTAAACGCTTCTTATAAAAAATCCGCAATTAAGTAAGTATTATCATTCCTAAACATTAATAAAAAAATATTAATTAAATCAATTAAGAAATAATGCTATATCTGGATCACCTATTAAAATTCGGTGAGATTTTTCTTTTATTCAAAAATTAATCTTAAATTATTTTAGTTTATAAATTGTTTTTAATTTGTTACAAATTTTTGGTGTAGGTCTCGAAAATATTATGAAACAGGGGCGAATCAAGGAACTGTAGCAAAGATTAGTAGCGGTTTGGGGAAACTAAAAGGTGTCTTACAAACTAAACAACCCATTGAAGGTTATTATACGCCGGAAAGTCACGCTTATGAAAGCGATGCGTCTCATTTTATCGATGAGGTTGTACCCCAAACGCCAGTTAGTCGAGATTTGAGTACTTGGAGAATTTCTATTCACGTTAAATACGTTGGTATTATTTTAATCTATTAAAAATGAGTGTGTTTCAATAAAATAAAATTTTGATAGGGTTATGAGCTTTAAGTTATTTGTTTATATTATTCAAATTAGAGTAACTTAAAAAATTAAATATTCTCTGTGAAATTTTTATTTAATTGAACACACAAGTGTGAGCATTGCTAGTTGATTATGTTTTTTAAAATCATTACATAATTTACACCTTTACTGAACTCAATTTGTATGTATACCTGGCCAAGGATTCTCTTCTTTACCAAAATCATCTTGCCTGGGTACTTGCTACCTCTGCTAATGTTTTTAGTGTTCCTGTGATTTGTAGCAAAAATGATTCATGTAAAAATTGTTGATTGTCTTTTTCCATGTTGTTGGAAAGTAATCTATGTTTGGACACGAGTTATAAATAGAACAATGTTTTATCTAGCAGATTTTTTAATACTGTATTTAGTGACATATCATGCCCATGAGCTTTCTTAGTAGGTATGAATTTTAGTATTACCCAGATTTGATCCTATCATCGTTTACAAGAAGGAATATGATTTTCATTAAACTATTGTATAGTTGTAAGTGGATTTAGAAGAGTGTAAAAGGGAAGAGTTTAGAAGAGACTACTAGAACAAATAGAAAGCATCCAAGGCTTTTATAACATTTTTTGATAGCATCTAATGGAAGCAACATGAACATGGTGTTCGCCAATAACATCAAATCAGAACCATTTGCAACAAAGGACAGACTAAGATAAGGGGCTAACTTAAATCCAACACTTTTCATTTATGGTAATAGGCAAAAAATATATAGAGATGAAAACTTGAAATAGAGGGAATACAGATAGAGCAGGTAGAAACATTTCAATTCGTGGGAGTGAAAGTATAACTCTCAGTCACACGACTGTGTTACATTGGTATTGAGGAAAACGTAAAACAGTAAGATACAGGCAATAGAAATGAAATATCTAAGATTGAAGAACACAGAAATAAGAAAGAATCTGGAAAGGCAATTCGGGTGGTGGGATCATCTGCAGAGAATTATAACAAAACTAGACAAATATAAGAGGCAAGATGTGGAAATAATAAAAGACGAGAGAGGACGAACATGGAATGAAGTACAAATAATGGCTCAAGATAGAAAGGAGTGGAAAAAGTTTATAATAGTACAATGACTAACGCAATTACTGTACATTATCTGATATGATATTGTAAACATCAAATTAATGTATTAGTTTACATTTTCTATCAATTTTGTAGTATTTCTTAAGTTCCCATTGTGACTCATCAGTGACTAGGAGTTGATTGGTCAACAACTTATTCGAAAAGATGTAAGATTCTATTTCCGGCTCTTGGATTAAATAATTGTGGCGTTAGTAAACCTATCTTGAACATATTCTGCCATTTCCATCTACCAACAGAGCATATACCATAAGAAGTACACAACAGGGGTTGATGTATTTGGTGAAATAAAGAAAATTCTTGGACATCCTCTAGATTTATAGGGACAATAGTTTTCTTTAATGTTTTAGCTAATTCTTGGAACATTGTAAAAACACATATAATTGTGTATAATTATTAAAATGTGGTTATCTTAGTATTGTGAACGTCTATCGCAAGAAAACACATTAAAAAGGCTACTTTATCCGTTATACACTAATATGTATCTCATAGTCTACCTTGTGATGTTGATGTCCAGCTTTCCTTCCAACATTTCGGTGGTCTTCCTGGGCGTTTTAACACGACTGGTTTCCCTTCTTTCGCAATTTTCGCTAATCGGTCGTTAACCATTCGCGTTTTCTGGCCCATCTAACAATTTCCTTATTGCTACACGTGTTTCTGATGTATTCGCTTCGTTATCTATCTCTTAAAGAGTAGCCGGTTATGACTCTTAGAGTTCTGATTTTAGTAGTCATTAAAAGCTTTTTCGTGATGGTATTTTCTGCTCTTGTTACTATGGCGTGGTTATGATGGGTTTTATGCATGTTTTGTATATTCTGAACTTACTTTTAATATAATTGCTGCTTTAGTTGTTTGAATGTATACTTCCGTTTTCAAATTTCTATTACTTATTTGTTGGTAATCAAATAGGATCACGACTGATGTGTGGAATTGATGATGAGTATTTAGGAATTTTTTAGTATACTGTTCTTAGTAGAATATTTAGTCTTCATAACTCTGACGATAGAATATGAGATTTTGGACTTACTTTAATTTCTTAACATCACCATCAAACGAATAAACAAATACTTTGTAAATGGAACGTTCCTAATGAGTTAAAAATTTAAAACAATGGTTCTAATATAAACAGATGGTGCAGTGAGAGAGAGTTATCGACTTATAGCAATACTACCCATCTTATTAAAGATGTTCCAAAACACTTTTTGAAATAAAAAGAATCAGACAACTAGAGAGGTTGTTTCAATGATCATTAGACGGGAAAGCTACAACTACTGGAATTGTGGATACCCAAGAAATTATTATTTTTTAATTGATTAATTAACAATTTTATATAAAAAACATTTTCTATATCTATGAGTTTCTGAGATACAGCATATTAATAAATATTACTCTACTCTTACAATAATTAATTAATCAACTAGTAAATGCTTACATTATGAGCTTTGTGCATACATTAACTAAAGCATTACTTACTAAATGTATGCACATTTACTAGACAATCTGCGTATTTTCTAAACTTGTATTGTTTAACTATAACAATACATTTATGTATATTTTGTAGTTACAACATAACAGATCAATGCAGGTTTTTATAATAACAGTTGACCGTTTAGATGCAACAGATCCATTAAGTAAAGAACTAAAATCATGGGCTATTCAAAGAAAAGATAATGATTTTTTCTTATTAAAAGCGAAATTAATAGAATTTCATGGAGAAAGTGTTATTGCAGATCATTTATTGCCATCTAAAAGGTACAATTCAAGTATATCATTTCAATTTATTTAAATAATGAATTTACAGAAGTTTGTGTAACGCTGATGCTGAAACTCGTCGACAAAAATACGATTATTTTTTAAAACAACTCCTTCAAAAACCTTCGCTAAAAAGCAGTGATTTACTTTACATGTTTTTAACAAGCGAACAAAATTTTGCGGAAATTATGTTATCCTCAGTGACGAGTGTGGATTTAGAAAATATTTATCAATCGGTTACGTATAAATTGCGTAAAGAAAAAGGACAACATTTAGATTCTTTCATGAATACTTTTATATTATCTTTAGGGAAAGTTAAATATAGGTAATTAATCAATTTATTTATTGATAATTAATTTGGTTTAATTTATTTTTAATAAAGTAGTAAAGTAGAGTGGGCTCAACTTGTCGATGAAGTTGAAAACGTAGAAAGCAATGTTGTTTATCCCAAAACGTATAAAAACGTTACATTTGGAGATAATTATGAAGTTTTTGATCGAAAAATTCATGATGGTTCATCCAGTTCATTTACACCAATAGGAATTTGTGAATCTTTATTTTACTTATGTATGTGTTTTTTTATAACTTATTGTGGTTTTATTAAATTTAATTTTTTTTTAGTAAAACATAGCTTTAAAGTTCGTTATAGCGTTTTAAAATTATACACAGCGATATGTAATATTGGTCGACAAGCCTTTGAATCTTTATGTAGAATCTTAATTGAACGTAAAATTAAATCTGCTTTATGTCAACCGAATTTAGCGAGTTTAGTGGAATTATTGGAAGGAATAGTTTTTGATAGAACTAAAAAAAGTCATCACAATCCACAAACAGAAAGTCGAAATAGTGAAGAACAAAGAGAGAAAGCTTTCGAGCTTTTAAATGCATCCATTCCAAATTGGTTGCTTAAAATTTTAGGTAACGATTTTAAACATGGCTTAAAAAGTTTATTGGAAATATTACAAAATCCTTTGTATAATAAACAGGCAAGTTTTTATTATAAAATTATAATTTAAATTTAAATTTTATTTTTTTTTAGTTGGTTTATAATCTTTTGGATATAATCATAGTGGAAATGTTTCCACATATAGACTCAATTGAAAATGAATCTGAATATTCCACTGTATAAGGCAACCTTTAAATAAAATATTTTTAAGCTAAATTAAGGATTATTCTAGTCTTTTGTATTGAATCATCAATCCAAGTTTTTAAAAACTTTATGAAAATAAGATATATTAAAACTAAGGTTATTTTAAGTTTTGTTTTGTAGTATTTCTGCCCGAAAAAAGACCTGTTTTAGATACAAGAAATGGATAATAATGGAATAATTTATTTATTTATACATGGAGGTTGCGACAAGAATACCATTAGTAGCTACCTCATAACTACAATGCTACGTTACGACAGTATGTACAAAAATAAAACTAAATCTATGTGGGTGCAAAACAGGTTAGTGCGCTTCAAATAACACGTCTAAAATTGTTTCATCCAACCTAAGCCGGTCTACCGCTCTTTTCATCCGCACAATTGGAGAATTCTTATAACAACTAGTTCGAGCTGTTGGTGCGTAAAATAAGAAATCATATCGTGACAGACGAGGAGGAACATGCAAGTCAATTCTTGTGAGTAGATATGGGGAATCGCAGTTACCATTGATCAATCTGAACAGGAAGCGAACATCACATCTACTCTGTTGAAGAGTGGGCATATGATAGATTTGGCAGGCACACAAATAATCTGTATAAGAATGACGAAATCGTTAGGAAAGGTGTTTCAGAAACCTAATCTGAACTCTCTCTATTCTATTAATATAAACATCATGTTGAGGATTCCAAGTCTTGGTGCGGTTCCAAGTGCGGCCCCAAATGACTGCCTTGAGGTATCCCAGAAGTCATAACAGTATGGTCAGATGAGTGCCCACCAATCATGACTACCTGAGATCGGTTGGAGATATAATAGGCAAACCACTTCAACAAGACACCCGCGACTCCAACGCGTTGCAACTTTAAGAGTAATAAATTGTGATCAACCTTATCAAAAGCTTTGCTGAAGGCAGTGTAAATAGCAACCACCTGGACGTTGTTATCAATGTTGTTTAGGGTAGAAACCGTGTTGTTCCATACCAATCAAAAATTTTCCCATTATTGGTAGAATGGATAGGGCTATAGTTGTTTACAAGGCATAAAAAAAATAGTAATTTTAGACTGTTTCTATACAGCAGGAAAGACGCCGTGGCGTACTGACATATTAAATATTAACCATACAGGCTTCGCGAGTGCTTGAGAGCAGTTGCTGATAAAAGTTGCAGGTATGCTGTCTAGACCCGGACCCTTAGAGTTAGCTACACCATCAATAACCACTCTAACCCCCAAATCAAAGCAGTCAATGGAAACCGTATTATGACTTTGATCCCCTTTAGGATATACACCAATAACCGGTGGTACAAATACCAAACAGAATTCTGAGAAAAGAGCACAGACTTCTTCCCCATTAGCAGAGGAAACGCCGCTATGACAAACATCCAGCACGCCAACACCACCTCTTTTCTGTTTTGCATAGGCACAAAATTGTTTAGCGTCAGAGGCAATCGAATCTTGAACATGAATTAAATAAGTCTTAAGCTACGTCCATACCGAAAGGAACACAAAGGGACTTTGTGTTTATGTTGCTTGTTTCTGGAACTTGTATCTCAAAGTTTCTGGATGTTGTTTATGGTTGCCGAAAGAAATGTTCCTACAAAATGCTTGTTTCCCTATTTAGCGATAAATATCATTAGGAAGTTTAGAAACATCTGTAAACATTTTTGTTTCGGACGCAGTGTGGACACGTTGTAACTTGTTTCCGAAACTTGTGTGCGGAGTGTTTGTGAAACCGATGTGATAAAAATTTTAAAGATCGTTACAAAAGACGAGATTTGTGGGTGGAGATTAGTAAAGCACTCATGTACAAAAGTTCTTTACATTTCCATTGTTGATCCTGGACTCTGCTATTAAATCATCTTTCTTTGATGAATTCATAAGGCGAATGATACCATGTTTACCTCTTTCTAAAAGAGTCGGACTAGTCCAACATTTACAAACTTTCTTTTTCTGACCAAATTTTCTTCCTTTCATTAACCTGATGTAGACGGGAAGTTTTTTGTTGCGGCAATACAGTGATGAGCGACTAAAATGAGTTTTCTTGGTATGGACAGAATGTTTGTGATAAATCTGTTTTTGTTTCTGCTTCCTAAACAGGTTACAACAATAAAGAACAAAATGTTTCCCTGTGCTTCTTTGGTGTGGCATAACTTAAAGGTCGCGTGAGTTAAGATATTTAGAACGCCGTCTCAACATGGAAAAATTGTGGTAATCGAATTTAATAACGTTTCTATTTTCTGTGCGACCTTTTTTTTTTCTCTCGATGTATTGTGTGCCGAGAGAACTATGTAGGACAACTTTTATTAGGCAAGTTCCTGCGCGGAACAAATCTCTCAATAACCTCATTAAGATAAATATAAAAGGTTTATACGGCCGCATCAACAAAGACATCTCCTAGAATTTTTGGCCAATCTAAATTATTGAGATAATCATTAATTTCGTCGTATGATGCTTTAGAAAAATTATAAGTAACAACGGGGTGCGGATTAAGACTGTTCTCTCGAGGCACATCAAAACAAAATTCAAGCATAGAACTTCTTCACATATCAAGGGTGAATCATACAGCTGAAAATCTGTTAGTGTTAGAAGACGACTAAACACAAAATCACGTGTATGATCATGAATATACAAAAAACTATTGTGCTGATCCAGTTACAAGACCCTTTATGGCTTAATTTTTATTAAAACGATCAGTTATTATAACTTCGATCCAAATTTATGCACAATTATCTTATCCATGGACAAAATTATCAAAACCACCTTTGTGATGAGAAAAATGGCAGGATTAACACCAAAAGCGATATATTTTTAAAATTGGCTGTGCCGAGAAAATTACGATTTATAAAAAGTAGATGTTAATGAATCTAAAGATTCTATTTCAAGTTTTTAAGTAGCACCTTTTAAATCTGCTTCGTTTGTAAGATAAATTAGACATGGCTATTAATAATCTCGTGAAAAACAGATATCTGCTTGTTACACTAACTTGGAAATAGATTTAAAAGAAATTATCCACATTTATGCTTCAGAATAAAACAAAGATGACGCAAAAGCTTTTATTTGCAACAATCTTATAATATTTCTAATGTTAACACTTTATTTGTTATCATGATCTATGTCGCTTTCTAAAAATGTATCCATTTTTTTGTTTGTCTCTCTGATGGGATAGAATTACTGTATTTTTTCTGTTGGAATAGGAATTAAATACTTATACAGAGGTTTTGTTATCTTCAATAATAGCATATTCTTAGTACTGGTCCATGTTACTTTGTTAATAATAGCACAGCAGCCAAGCACATTGTAATGACAATTCATTTAGATCCTTCATGAGATTTAAAATATTGGATAAGATACTGCTGTTTTCCTTCTACTTCACTCCAAATGAAGCAGTTTCTGCATTTTGTGTTTAATGCTTTATATTGTAAAACTAAATGATTCGTTGTCTATAAAACAAAGCATTGTTGGTCTTTTAGTAGCTCCCAGCATTGCTGTTCCATCACTCTTTGGGTTACACTAAGTTGTTCTAAATCTTGTTAAATATCGATTATATCTAGGAATACATTTAATACTGCTTCTCATGCAAGTTTTGTTTGACATAATCACATTAACATAATATCCTTAAAGCGAAATTCCTATCTACAGGAATTAACAAAACATTCAACTTTGTTATAAATAATAAAACTTTCTTACCTGATGGGCGACCAATTGCTAAATAAAATAAACTTAACGAAATTTTGGTTGACTTTTGCATTTGATACAAAACTGTTAGTTCTCAGAATCAAAGTAAATTAATAAAAATGAACTAAATATGTTATACAGGCCATTAATTTGCAAAATAAAATCATTCTTATAATAATTTCCTTTCTATGAAGTTGCTTAAAATAATTATCATTAATAAATCGTTCAAAATGCAATAAGAACTTTTATAAATTTATTAATTATAAAAAAAAGCATAACTAATAAGGAAATAATGATATATTTACAGTTATCGACTAGGTACTTAACAAACCGTGTACCATGACTGCACAAAAGACATTTTCTAACGTTTATTTTCAACAACTTTGATACTTTTCATATCTACACAAGCAGCAAATGCCTGTACCTCTTTGGCACAACGCATTGGCTCATTAGGATATTGCTGATAACATTCCATCACTTTCTTTCTATTCATAATACAAGGCATTTCGCTAAACGGTGATTTACTGGTTTTTGAATTCATTTCATCCATCTAAAATATCAAAAATGTCATTTCTAATTAAACCGATTTACATTTACATCTTACAGCTTTTTTGTATTCCTCTTCCATGAGAATTCTCATCTTTTCATTATTTTTTTCTAAATCATGTATTCTCCTTGTCCAATATTCGTCATTTTTTCTAAGTTTCTCAGCTGCTTCTTGCCGAATTTGTAAGGATGTAAATGTTGGCTCATAATGATAGAATGGAGGAGGAGGATTGTTTGAAATTATCTGATGACTGTGTAATTGTTGTGGGGGCGCTTGTCCACTTGAACCGCGCCGTTTAGCTAAAAGTAACATAAATATTGATTATGTAATCAACAAAAATATAAATGCACATCCCAAATTCGTTTTATAAATTGTTTTTGTAAATAAAACGAAAATTGGGCTAGATTTTACCACTCTTAAAGTGATATCTTGTATGGTTTATAATTTCATTCAAAATTTGCAATTTAAAAAATTGAGGTTAGCTCACCTTCGGCACATCGAAGCCGTTGAACTACATCATCGGATACTTTAATAACACTGGTAGGGTCGTCGTTTTCAAGGGTCAACTTCCTCGTTTTCCCTTGTTGAGCACCCATTTCAATTTCTTTAATAAAACTGCCAAAAAATTTCTTTATGAACTGTCAGATTCACACAGCCATCTTTACATGTTAACAAACGTGCAACCTTAAAAAATTAAAATAACTATTTACGTGGAATATTATTTCTAAATCTTTCTTTATTATTATTTATTTATATTTTTCTTGATGAAATAAATAAGAAAAATAATAATGTTGTTTTATATATATGATAGTTATTTAAATTATTTTATTTATGATTTTTATTGAGTGTGTAAATGAGTACCTGTGTTGACATAATAAATTAAAATATTCCCAGAATAGTTCCTTGCGCCACAGGTAACTACGATTAAGAAATACTAAGTAAATAGAGCAATATTGTAATAAGATTAGATAGTTTATTAAATAACACTTGCAAAGGTAGAACATATCTTATACTGCTTAAATGAAATGTCTAACGAAAAGAAATCTAATTGGGATTCCAGTCAATTGAGAAAATACAATCTCACTTTTACTGAAATCCCTCGATTCGATTGTGATGATCCTAGAACGGATGAACTGATTTCGCAACAGGTAAAACTATCATCTTAATAAGACTAATACTTATTTTATAAACTGCTTTGTAGAAACCTGTTGTTATTTTAAACTCAAATTTGGCCGCTTCAGCCCAAAAATGGAACTTGGAATATTTAGAAACACACATGGGAGATGCAGATTACACAGTATACTTATCAAGAAACCATAAATTTAAATATTTCGATGAGAAAAAGGTACAGAAATTAAATGGCGATATTGGAAAGGGAATTGATTTTATGCAACCAACAAAAAAAGTAGATATGAAATTATCCGAGTTTATTAGAAGACTGAAAGAATGGAAAAGAGGAGATGATAGGTAAATTAGATAAATAGATATAGAAATATTTAGTTATCTGTATATGATTAAATTAAATAAAAATTAATTTGGGAATCCTGTCAAAATGACATTTGTGATCATAACATTGTTTACTCTGCCATCTAGTGTTCATTTCCGTAATATTAATTTTTATATACAGTAAAGTGCCGATTATCTGTGAACCATGTAAATGGGGTTTGTAATCAGCTAGATGGGAAAATAATGAATGAAACAGTGAATATATGAAAAATGTAATGCTGAAGTGTTCTTTTCAGTAAAGAGTACTACAAGAGCTGATGTACTTACAGTCTGTATGTGTTGGTAAAAGCACAATACTTTGCAGAAATGTTACAAATCACTGAAAGATTTACACTTTACACTGTTCAATTTTTTGTAACATCTTATCAAACGTTATTAAAGTGAGGGGTTTAGTACCTGCCAAAATGTACAATGCTAATGAGACCGGCCTCTATTGGCGTGCAATACCCAAGAAAAAACTGCTTCTGGCTATAAAATTAGTAAAAATCGGATTACAGTGTTATGTTGTTCAAATGCTACTGAACAAGATAAGCTAAAATTATCTGTAATAGGGAAGTCAAAGTCGCCTAGAGCTTTAAAAGACATAAAAAAAAACTCCCAGTTGAATACTATAACAATCATTCTGCTTGGATAACACGAGACATTTTTGAAATGTGGTTTAAAAATAAATTTGTTCCACACGTAAAAAATATATGGACGACAACGGTCACGTAATAAAATCTTAATGTGACCCATAAGAAGTTAAAAAAGGGTATAATTACTTAACCGTTATAGACAATTAACAGTTTCAATATAGATTTTCTCAAATAAATATACAGGTGTATTTAAATTGACGCGAAAGATTTTAAGGGGTGATTTTTCAACGAAAATTAAACTTTTTGGTCAAAACCCCTTCTCCTCCAGGTTATAGCCCTCTGAAGTTATGGGTAAAAATCTGCAACTTTCTTATCTCTTGACATTTTACAACTAACAAATTGTTAGTTTGATCACAAAAAATAAAATAATGCTGAGATCAATTTAACATAACTTCATTTCTTTAACTAATAATAACCAATCTCTCAGTTAATTCATCTGAAAATTGGGAGAATTTCTAATTCTAGGAGAAAATATCAAAAAAGTTGCGTATTGAACCCCACTATTTAAATAAAGTTTTTAAATAGAAAAATGTAGACGTATTAAAAAGTTGTAATGCAAAGTATTATGGGGTTGATTTTTTCAGCCTCTTGTAAAAACATATTAGGTTTATAAAAATTGTCAAAAAATGTCACCTTATTAGTAATAGTTATCTGCCAAATTTCATCCTTCCAAATTCCTCCATAGTGGATTTATTAAAGAAAAACAATTTTTTCCCCTAATTTTAAAGGGCTGTAACTTGGAGGAGAAATGGTTTTCACCAAAAAGTTATATGAAAGACCCCCCTTAATTTTCGCAGAAAAATCATCCCTTAAAATCTTTCGCATCAATTTAGATACACCCTGTATATTTTTAGTCCTAACTCTATTATTTACTACAATAATAATGCATTTCGGTTACACAATACAAACAATAACAATATTATTTTACAGATAAGCATTTCTTCTAATATCAGTGACTTTTATGCTGCTGCATCTCGTTCGCCAGTTTATCTATTCTAGGTTCAATCGACTGATTTAATGCTATTCTCATTGTGGCATCAATGCTTTCAAGGCGATTTCTATACTTATTCTTAATAGCAGCAAGAGCTGAAAAGCGCTAAATATGTTGTTGCGAATGGTAGTAAACATTCGATTAACTTTTCAAGTAATGTTGGGTTTTCGGTTCGTATTTGCATCCAAAATTTGACTAAATTTGTTTGACTAATGAATTGCGCGTGAAGTAATTTATCATATAACAGCTTCATTAGTTTTTCTTCGTCTGACGAACACAAAATATTACTTTCGTCTTTTTAAAAACGGATTTTGTATCCACATGTTGTCTATGCGGATATCGTTATCAGGAGGAAAATAACTAAGAAATCTTTCTTTTCGGCATCGTCTTCTTTATGCAGCTCCCTATCTTCAATTATTTAAAGATAAGATGGGAACATATCAAATTCTCACCTATCATCTATTCGACCTCTCCAAATATCATTTTTTTCTGATAGAAGCTGCATCTTTCTTGTTGCATGTGAATAGGTTAGTCGAAAAAATATCAGCTAGGTAAGCAACCTTTGCGAGCAATACGTTGTTTTTGAAGTGTTCTGCTAGTGGTGAATTTTAGTTATTTAAGAGTATTTCTATTTCGGTTCTTAAGTTAAAAATCTTTTCAGTACCTTCCCTCTTGAAAGCCATCGTAAATGTGAATATAGTAATAAAATTTTGTGGTTTGAACCTACCTCTTCACAGAATAAAGCAAAAACTTCAGTCTGAACCGAATATGATTTACAATTTTCACACAGTGATCTAAAACTATGTCTAATTCTTTGTCTATATTTTTGGATACCAATTGTTCACGATGAAAAATGCAGTAGGTTTTTGTTATATTTTTATGCAATAGTTACCCAATTTGTGTAACAACACCTCTGTTTTTTCCTACCATCGCCGCTGCTCTATCCGTACATATACATTTATTCCAAGAAATATGATTAGACTCAAAGTTTGAATTTATGGTAGTAAAAACTTTAGAAGATGTAGTGTAGAATTGTAGTTTTAAGGTGAATAATTCCTGTTTCATGCCAACTCAAAATCAATATATCTTACGTATACTATCAATATAGCATTACTTGAAACATCTGTGGATTCATCTAACTGCCAGGCATAACATGGTGAATGTTTCAATTTTTCAATTAGTTGTAATTCCAGGTCATTTGAAATACTAAGTACTCATCTGCTTATTGTTTCAGCAGACATTGGAATATTGTTAATTTCCACAGCATATTCTTCACCAAACATTTCCCTACAAATTTCTTTGAAACATAGTTTCATTAGTACTTATCCTATAATACACGCTTTTTAAGTCTTAGCAATATGCAATGCTACTAAATAAGAACATTTGGCGATAAATATCTAGGTTCTTTTTTCATTATGCAACAAAACTAGGTTTAAATACAAAGTTAACCTGATTTAAAGTTACGAGTGTATTTTAAGGAGATTAACACAAAACAATTCGAGAAACTTGAGATCAAGTTTTTATGAGATGAATCAGCTGAAGAACATGAAATTGATAGTAATGAACCTTTAGATGTATTTTAATTGTTAAAAAATGTTCAGGGCTGTGAAGAACTGGATGATGAAAATATTCTGGACTCCCTAAATATTCACTCGAATGTTTTGGATTGTGATACCTTTTCTTAGAACAAAAATTAAACATTCGTATTTCAATAATTTTAAAAACGTCATGTAGTTTACAATTATCCGGTTTCTATTTTCCCCCAATTACCACAGTGAATCGGCACTGTACCGTATTTTTGATTTAATTCCAATTTCACAACGGAATCGTTTTTATTAGGTTATATCTTCAACAAGGATTAAATAATACGGTTGGTCCAGAAATCGTAAGAGATTTTGTAAATTTTAATTGGGAATTTTGTAATGGGAAACAATCCAAACACAATTGGGGACCTCTTACATACAATTTGCTTCTTATCGGGATGGAAGGAAATGTTACACCTTGCCATTATGATGAACAACAAAACTTGTTTGCTCAAATTTACGGATATAAAAGATGTATATTGTTCCCACCTAGCGAATTTGAGTGTTTGTATCCATATCCTGTTCATCATCCACATGATCGTCAAAGTATGGTATGTTTCATCTTTTTAGTTATTAAAATAATTATAATCTAAAAAAAATATGTTTAAGGTTGATTTTGATAAACCAGATTATAGTAAATTTCCAAAATTTAAAGATGCGAAAGCTTATGAAAGTGTTCTTGGTCCTGGTGAAGTTTTATATATACCAGTGTATTGGTGGCATCATATAGAATCGATAATGAGGGGTGGGCATACTATTACTGTAAATTTTTGGTATAAAGTAAGTCTTAATGTTTTTAAAAACGAATTTTATATTTTTGAAGAGTTATTTTTTTAGGATAGTCCAAATGCAAAAATATCGTATCCGTTAAAAGATTTTCAAAAAGTGGCTATAATGCGAAATATCGAAAAAATGTTGTTGGACGTTTTAAAAGATCCTAAAGAAGTTGGTCCGTTATTAAAAACTATGGTTTTGGGGCGATTTACGGAATGATATGGTATGGAAAATAAAAATTAAACCAATTGAATTATTTATTGCACACTTAAAATATCAGTATTATTATTGACCAGTGTGCATATGAATGAATGGTAATATAAGAGACAAAGTGACTTAAAAAGGTATTTTTAGGACAGCTATTAATGATAAATGGATAGTTTTTCTTTTCATTTTTTTTGCCATTTTTAATCCAAACTGGATTTTTAAGTAATTTTTTTTTCAATATAAATGTTATTCTTAATTAGCTAATTAATTGGTTGTTTGCAATTTAAAACTGTGATTTTTAAAGTGTATTATTATTTGAAAGAATTCGTAAAGAAAAACCAATTTGAGACTATTCTTTTAAAAACAATATCTTATTTGTATTTGCTAATAATAATAATCTATATTTTTATTTATTTATACGTAATTATAAAGGTAAATTCCAAAAACGTATTATTTCACCTTTTTTTCTTAATTTTATTCCGGTAATAAATCATCGCCTAATTGCTCATCACCAAAATCATCATATTCGGCTGGTTTTTCAAATCCAGTTCTTGGTCTTTGTGGTAAAGGTCCTAATGGATCGCTATAATGAGCATCTACAAATTTAATTATTTTTTAATAATAATAAATTGATTGATTAAATTTACCTATTATTGGTTGTCCAAAACCAGAATCTCCACTTCCGGCACTATCATGAAGTTGCACTAAACGTCCTGTTCTTTTAGCGCTTGATTCTAATCGAACATTTTCATGAACAGTACTAAAACCTGATCCTCCACGCGAAGATAGGCTACTTCCGCTTCTTATAGAACCTAAATTAATTTAATATATAAGGTTTCGTTTTGAACAAATTTGTAGGTTAAAATTTGTCATAGAGTTGATGATCTTTAGTACCTGGTCGACTACTAGAAACTCTTTCTCTAACTTCTTTAACTTTCTCTAACTTCTTTAATTCAAGCGCATAATCTTGAGCTTCTCTCATCCCCAAATCACTACAAAGCCTAACCAAAAACCTTAAACACTCTGAATTTTCAGGGAACATTTTATGAATTTCCTGATAAAGTATTAAAGCTTTATGGAGATTGCCACTTCTCCGATGACACCCAGCAACCATCATATGCCATTTAGGATTTCCCGGTTGCATTTGAGCCGCTTTTTCAAAATAAACCAAAGCTTTTTCAACGACTTGCATTTCTATGTAATAAGAACCTAACCAATCGATTACTGATAAATTTCCGGGATAATATCTAAACGCCTATAAAAAATACTTTCTTTACTAATTTTTTTATATCATTTTTTGTTTGATTTACATCATAATGGTAATGATGAGCTTGTTGTTTATCACCTTCCCCATCAAATAATTCGCCTAATTTTTGTATAGCGCCCGCATCAGCCGGTATTAATCCTAATAATTGTTGATAAGCTTCAGAAGCAGCTTCAGTATCACCAAGTCTTTCAAAAAGGCATGCTATTTGATAAACAACTTCAGGTAGAAGTGATAAAGAACCTGTAAATTTTTGGAAACACTCTAAAGAAGCTTCGTAATATCCTTGATGTTTTAAACAAAGCCCGAGGTTATAAAGTCCTTCTACGTTTGAAGGGTCACATTCTAAGGCATTTAAAAAATAATTTTTAGCGTCCTCAAGTTTTCCTTTAGTCAAAGCGCAAGCTCCTAAATTAACAAAACCTCCAGCGTTATAACCATCTCCTTGTTTTACAATGTTACCATATTTTTCAGCATTTTCATAATCACCTTGCTAAAAAAATCATTTAAAGTATTATTTTTTAAATGGCAATAAAGTATTATTACTAAATAATAAATAAAACTAAGATTAATAGCAGCACTTGTTGCAATCGCTTGCTCTTTATCCAAAACTTTCAATGTTTCAATGGCATCGTTTAATTGTCCTTGTTTTAAATAAACCACAGCTTTGTTTATTTCTAAATCCCCAGCAAGTTTAGCGTATTCGGAATTTTTAACTACTTCAACGCACCAATCATATCCAACACCAAATGATGATTCTATTAAAGGAGCTATTAATTTAGCTGCTGTTAAAATACTTGTTTCGGCTTCTGTTCGTCTATCTTTTTCATAAATGTGTAGAGGATCATTTTGTATTGCTGATGCTATCATTACATCTTCAGCATTATCCTGTAATAAATTAATAAATAATGTAGATTACAATAATACAGTAAAACCACGATATAATGGACCTCGTTAGAACGGGTATATTTTAATATAAATGTTAGCGCTCATAGATAGAATACAACTGTATTGGACATGTTGAAAAGAAAATTTGCTCTCCACTTTTCAATTTTTACAATTCGAAGCTTTAAACGCAATTTTCTCAAAACTATATCTATACAACTCTTGGAAAAGATATCTCAAAAACAAATATTGGTTAATTAGTTTGCATTATATCAATTACCAAAAATTAATAAGAAATTAATTGAAGTAAAGAATGTTAAGCAAGAATGTTAGCAGTTTTGTTTACAAATGTCAATCAACCCAAGAAAGAACGTTGGGTAGGGTTAGTATTCTTTTGTAATGTCAACTATAATCCTAAGATGGGTCAGATTTCTTTTGAAACCAAAATTATACCATGAAGGAATGTTAGGATAGGCCAGTTTTCTTTTGAACCTCTAATTGTACCATGAAGCAATGTTATGATAGGTCAGTTTTCTTTTGAAGCCCTCTTAAGAGACATACAGCTAAACTCGAATGTTTCTAGTGCTAGTGTTAGCTCTAATTTTAGTTGTTCTTCAGCGCTAGATTGTTGTATATTCTTATTGAACTAAAAGTAGAATTAACTAATACAGAACACAACGGTGTGGATAGCAGTTCGAATTTGTGTGCAATTAAACTTATTCATTCAAACAGTTTAAAGTGCAAATTAAAAATTTTTCATATAATGGACACTCCCTTCCCATATTAATCCATTATATCGAGGTTTGTAATTCATTTTTATTTTATTAACCTGCTCTAAGTTATATTTTTCTTCATCTTCAACATCTAATGGTATCGCTAATAAAAGAGAAAAAGCCATTTTCATCCTTTCTTTATCCTCCAACGCTCGACAACATAAAACAAGATGTAATCCAGCTTTATGATTGGGTTCTTCATTCATAATGTACTCCAAACCAGTTACAGCTTCTTCAAATTGATTCATTTCAACGAAAACCATGCTTATATTATGCATAATTTTTATTCTAAAACAAAATTAATCATTAAGTGTAATTAAAATTTGAAACACTACCTTAATTTTTTTTGGGTTGATGGAACTTGATCTAACGCCATTCGATACATTTTAATAGCTTTGTGATGTTGTCCTTGTTTATAATAAATGTTACCCATATTAACTTTTAATCGATAAGCATTTGTAAACATTCTATTCTTTGTGATCATTTGATAAGTGCTTAAAGCTTCACTATATAATTCATTATTTGTGTATTGATTTGCTAAAGTGAATAAAACTGAGTATGTGAGATCCATATTGTGATGATCACTTAATCCGGCTTGTTCTTGTATTCTAATCAAATTTCTTTCTTTATTAGAAGCTTCCTTAGCTTTTGATAATCCTAATTGAAAATTTCCTTCGCCGCTAGCAACGCAGGATTCTTCAACAAGTTGCATTATTTTTTCTTCTTGAATGCGCACTTTTCCTTCTGGGCTATCATCTTTTTGTAATTCCGTAGGTGAAGTTATTAACGCCTCTTGATTTAGTGGATCAAATAGAGGTTTTTGTGATGTGTATCCAGCACCTCGCACAGCGGTCATTGGTCTATTAACATTATCGGATGTCATGGGCCTAAACCCGGCTGTTCCAGGTTTAACTGGTAAAATTGCGGTACCTTGACGTTGATACTAAAAGTTTATAAACACATATATTGATTGCAAAAGCTTTAATTAAGGTAAAAGTACCCCAGTTGAGAGTCCCAATCGCATTGAAGAATTAAGTCTCCGACTTGCCAAAGCACTCCTTGGTATGGCGTCATCTTCATATACAGGGGCTGGTTTACTAAAGAGTGCTTTAAGATCTTCGTCTTCTTCCGTGAAATTTAAAGGAATTTTGCTCATTTTTAGATGATTTTTTAAGGTTATTTAGTGGTTGCTATGTTTGTATTGACCCATAAAGTATACATAAATCGGGAAAATTCTTGATTATTTAAAAATGTTGTGTACAAAAGCTATTTATTTATTAACATATTAATTTTAACTTTTAGTTTATTTAAATAAAATCGAAATTTTATTTTAAATTGAAAATAATGTTTTGAAAACATGCGCACAAATCTTGCGCAATCGTAAAGTTGTCAGTGGTCATGGAATGGCCGTCCTGTAAACATTACCGGCACATAACGAAGATGGTTTTAATTAATTTTGTGCATATTTAGTCTGAAATGAGACGGTTCGTGTGGTTAAAGTGTTCGGATTACTTTCAGAACGATTTAAATGATTCGTAAAGGGTGAAAAACGTGCAGTTTGTCAACCGATTTTCTCAGGTTCGATAGTAGTCGGCGACAATGGCGGACACGACAAGGTACAACGAGTTGTGTAGGTTGTGCGGTGAGAAAATCAATGAAATATTAGCGGTGAACATTTTCACCAACGACGGCACCTCCCGACAATTAGATAAGAAAATCGGCGAATGTTTACCCGTTCATGTAAGTAAAATAACAAGAAATTTTCCCCTTTTTTCGATCATATAATTTGGATTATGGACGGTAGCCATGATGAATTTTACCCAAAAACTTTGGATATCCACTCATAGAGGGCACTAAATTTCAGTCAATAGACAGTCCCAGATATCTTAGAACTTGGATGATTATATGTCGCAATCCCACCACGAGAGGGCATTAGCGTCTATACTGAAATAATTTAATTAAACTAACAATTTTGTTATTAATAGTGGGAATGATGAGAGACAGTAATAACAATTATTACAAGTATCATTTTTTTTAATTTAAAACGTATAAATCCCAATTTGTGTTATACATATTTTTAAATTTGCCGCTAAGAATTTTAAAAGTTGAAGTTTGTTCAGAATGACAAATGTAAACGTCACTTTAAAGTGATTTTTCGGTAAGAGTATAATAAAGTAATAATGGTTTGATTAAATAATTAGATTATAATTGTCATTATAGCTTTGTTTCAGCTAACGTTATATGTAACTGGCTGGAAGCTCATCAGATGCAATCTCACATGTCATATATTATGATGCAGGGAAATTCAAACGTGGCGGCATTATTTGACAGGTGTAATTGCATCTGAGGAATTCCCAACCAGTCTAAACGTTAATTTGAGTGGCTCCAAGCAGTTATTGTGTGATTGGAGCTTTTATATATATATCCAATCCAACCTGTATTCTAGTGGTTCGGTTCTTAGCTGAATAATTTCAAAATATCCCCAACAGATGGCGCCACATGCGTTCAATTTTTATACGAAATTTTTTTACATTTCTACTAAGCTATTTTCTATGGTCAATAGATGGCGCTAAGTTAAATTTTTTCAAATTTCAGATACACGAAGCTGACCAACTTCCAAAAATGATATGCGACCAATGCGCTTATAAATTAGATTTATTTTTTGATTTTCGAGAACGATCGTTACGCACCGAATCTTTATTAATTGACCTTTACAAACAATTAAATGCGGTAACGGAAGAATTAATGATGGTTCAACAACACCATTTATTAAACGAAAATATGCATGAAGTTAGCGAACTCGAATTGAATCAACTCGAACACCGCGACGCTTTAATTGTTGAACACCAAATAATCGATATAAACAGTCATGCTTTATCCTCAATCGAAATCAATCATCACGAATTAAGTCAAACGGTGAACGGTCATAATTTACAGGTACAAGAAACAATGATCGTTAACAATTCTAGGTATAGCGAAGAGTTGATTCATCAACATAATCAATTATACACATCCCAAGCTGCTTATGCATCATTAAATGATATTACGTTAAGTAACGCAGTTGTACAAGAAAAAGATACTCATTTTAGTACCGATATACACACAGTACTCGATGTACAATCGAATTTACAAAAACCTGAAAGTATTTTAACTCAAAAACAATACGAAATTGATTCACCAACAATGAACGATTCAAATGAATACATTAAACATGAAGATAGTAACAGCGAATGTAGGTTATTAATCGACGAAGGTCAACATCATGTATTTATTGGGGTTGATTGCGAAGAATACATGGACGACGTCACAATTGACGATGAAAAAACGGTGGTTGATACAATTGAAATATGTAATATTTGTAAAAAAAATTTTACAAAAGACGATTTTACAGCTCATTATGAACAACATTTTTTAAAATGCATTGTTTGCAGCGCTGTTCTTTCTAATAAAGAAGCTTTAGAAAATCATTCAAAAGAAGTACACGGAGATACAACCGAAACTATTAAGGTAATAACATTATAATTTAACTTTTATGTTTTTTTTTAATTCAATTATTTTTGATAGAAAAATATTAAAGATCGCTTAAAAAGAGATTCACGAAAAGGTAACGAATCAGAAACTGAAATTGAAGAAGACGAAAGTGATGAAAAAATTGAAGAAACGGAAAACAAAACTAAACCAAAACCTAAAAGGGGTTATCCTAAAGTTTGTGATATTTGCGGGAAATCTTATAAGAGTAATTATAAATTGGCGGAACATATGAGAAAACATACGGGTGAGAAACCTTTTAAATGCGGAACTTGTGATAAAGCGTTTAGGTCAAAAATTGGGTTGGCACAACATGAAGCTAAACATACAGGTGATATCATAAAAAAAAGAAAACGTTAAGAAATCTAATAATCAATTTATTAGGTCAATATGATTATGCTTGTTCGACGTGTGGTAAAGGGTTTCAATGCAAAAGTTATTTAATGGTACATCAAAGAGTACATTCAGATGTTAAACCTTATCCATGTACAACTTGCGGACAAAATTTTAAAACAAAACAATCCTTAATGGATCATACTAATAGACATTTAGGTGTTAAACCATATATTTGTGATATATGTGGAAGAGGATTTATAACAAAAGGTTATTTTTTATATATTAAGTGTTTTTATTGTCAACTATAAGTTTACAATCTTTTCCATTACAATATATACCTCTTCCTCCCACCTCTCGTCCCACTCTTTCAGAATCTGGCTTTGGTTCCTTTCCTTTTCTCTCAGCTCGCTACATCCTCAACATATATTCTAGCGCCTCTTCCTTCTCTCAGTCCCTTCCTTCATCAAGTATTTTGGAAGCCCCTCCGTCATTATGTCCCCATATATTTCATTGTATCTTCCCTCTCTTATCTGCGTCCTTCTCTCCTGTCTCTGGACGTCCCAATCCCTGTCGCGTACCTCCCCGCACATCTCCATCCCTTCTCTTCTTCTGTTATTTACCTCTGCCTCCGAATAACCCGTCCTTTTGTAATATTCCCTCCTCTCTCCTTTACCATATCTAATCTTCCCCTCCCTAACTTCCAACACTCCCACAGAATGGTCTTCTATCTATAATTCCTTCATATTTAACTGCTTCTCTGCCCGCCTCCACCCTCATTTCATCCACCTTCACTTCCTCCCTCACAATATACCCCGTGTTTCCCTCGCCAGCCCAGAACCCACCTTCTGTACTGATTCTGTACGTCCTCCAGAATATCCTGCCTCTTCCATCCCCAAACTTCCGCCTCATACATCATTGCACTTTTTTTTTTAGATTTTGTTGAAATAAAATCATATAATATTGATAAAATCATTATAAATGTTATATGGAAATATCCCTGAAACGGCAAAAATAGTGATAGGTCTTTTTTTGTTTGAGTAGAGTTCAAGCATATAAAAAGACGAATTCAATCTAGTTGGAATATCTTGTATTAAAAGTTTGGACGGTATTTGAAACTGTTTTTGTATCAATTTTATCTTACTACATGATGATGGTGAATGACTAAAGTGACCTACGATTTTACGACATTTATTAATCAACTCCTTTATCTCTTCTACAGATGTGTTGGCGTTTATAACAACTAATTTCAATTCCAAAATCTTTTGTGGCTTTCTTCGTGTTGGCGCCACTATCCCTCAGTATTAGAGGTATTTGTGTAGAATATTTTCACTAGTATGACTTTCAAGAATGTTGCAAATGTGGAGAACATAATGTTAATCGAACACGTCATTGATAAAATGGATGGTAAAGTTAATGTAACTGGTTACATAACTATTTGTCCAGATGTCAAATGTAAAGCTTCGACAGCAATCATTCAAAGTACGAATAATAGTATGGTGGCTATTCTCGTCACCGCGACCTATAAGATTTATTGTAAGTTAAGCCATTCAAAAGTTTAAGGCAAATATAGGTCCTTTATGAACCTTAGTATTGCTCTAAAAAAGAAAATTTTGTGTCTTAGGCGGCCTCTGGCGACACATTCACACATCATTCACACGTCGTTGCAAAATCGATAAGTTTGATTCTCAGCTTGTCCAAGATGGAAGAGGTGGTATGTTAGGGGCGCATGGCCGGCCAGGAAACCTAAAAGCGACTTTAGATTCCCTTTGCTGAGGTATAAAACCTCTTTGGTGACCTTCTGTGACCTGGAAATTCTTTCCAGCTTAATGTTCAATCAACGTCTTCGGGAAATCTGGCCGCTCCACATATTGATTCTCTTGTCTAATGTGGATTTTGGGTAACCTAATACTGATAATTTTGTCTATTTATTTGTCCGCTCAATGTAAATGTTTCCTCGACGAAGTCTTCGTCGTCATTGCAACATTGTTGCTATAAATGGCGGAAAAAATTTAAAATCTCCAGCAAGTCAATGCAAAAAATTTAAATCCGTCAGGAATTTTTCCATCAACCATTTATAATGGTTTTATCGCCTATATCACGTAATTTACGGGCGCTCTCTATATATTAATATAAATAAATTTTTATGTTTAGGTTTGTTAAGAGCACATCAAAAAACGCATACAGGTGAAGACAACCGGAAATATTCTTGCACCGTTTGTAATAAAATGTTTGTTTCAAAAAGTTATTTACAAACCCATATGAAAATTCATACCGGCGAAAAACCTTATCCATGTAATGTATGTGGTAAAGGATTTTTAACAAGAGTTGATCTTCGAATCCATTCAACCATGCATACAGGTGAAAAATCTTATATGTGCGAGATTTGTGGAAAAGCTTTTGCAAGAAGAGACGCGTTACGGTGTCATAGAAGATCTCACACTGGGGAAAGACCATATGCGTATGTATTTAGATATCGTTAATGTTTATTGTTTGATTTATTGATGATTATTATTTAGATGTGATATTTGTGGGCAAACATTTACTCAATTCTCACCAATGATGATTCATAAACGATTACACACGGGAGAACGACCTTATTCTTGCGAAGTATGCAACAGAAAGTTTATAACACGATCCTCAATGTCCACGCATTTAAAGAAACACAATGTTAAACAAGAGAATGGTTGATTTGTGTAAGGAAAGTAATATTTAAAAAAGACTGAATGTATTGAAAAGAATTGAAATAAAAAAGAAAAATGTTTGAAAATTATGGAAATGTTGCTATATTTTTTACATTTTTCCTTTTTTCTATAATTCATCCGTGGTTTTATATTTATCGGTGCGAAAATGCGATAAAGCGCGGTGCCCGCCTCACAACGCGCAGAGGGCAAACCGGGTGAAAAGAACGCCAATACATTATGCGGCTACACTGAGTGGACATGATGTATTATTCATGTTGTGTTTTAAATGTTTGACGGTAGATTCTTAAAAAACGAAGACAATAACAGGTATGTTATTTAGCAAGAACTATTCATTTAGTGTTTTCATAATATGTTTGTTTATATTGTTATGAACAATAATATATTTAGTTAACTCTGATGTCTCAATTTTAAAGTTTTAAGTGATAACGTGAAGAAAGACCAGCGGACGTTCAGTTATTTACTTTTAGTAAGTAGGAAAGTAGAAGGAAAGAGAAAAAACAGTTATTTTTAATCACACTAACAGATACTTTATCAATTATTATTTCAACGTGCAAGCTATTTTCAAATCCCTCGAGTTCTTTGAGCTTTAATGATAACAATTGTAGCGTTTGATGAAACTTTGGAAACGGAAAATGCAAATACAATTATTTTAAGACATCTTTTACTGAAAGTTCTAGGTGATGACACAAACAATGCCAAAGAAAAAGGTCATCACACTGGCACCGACACTTGCAAACTTACTCCAATTTTTTAGTGCAATCGATTTCTATAGCTTGCAACGTTCCAAGGAACCTGCACATCAAAATATGATGAAATGAATACTAGAATAGTATAATTTTAATGTGTTGATTTACCCACCATTATTGTGAATTTTTAGCCTGATTATAGAATGTGAAGGAAATCGTTTGTGCATTTTCTTTGCTATGGCATTAATTATTCTCGTAGCAATTATTGCTATAATATTAAATCTATTGATTTGTTGAAGTTCTAGAAGTTCTTCAAATTACAAGAAAGCGATGGTTTTATTGCTATAGAGTAAGATGTCTTGCACTGGTTTCAGTAATAGTATAATGGTTTTTATTAGTAAAAGAACTTTCTCTGTGGATGTTGTACCATTTAAGCAGTGTTGCATAACCAAGGCTTTGGATGGTGTCAATTGAATGATTTTATATATAGGGGGATAGCTCAAATATGTGTAGAACGGTGTAATTGAAAGCTAATAAGTGGAGTGGTTTTATCAATGATATGAACACGCCTTTTGTAGGCATGAGCCTGTTTAGATTAATAGTCTGTTAATAAATTAAAAAAAACAAAATCTATATTGATTTTGATTGAAGGTGTAACCATATTCTTCTTATTTATTAAATTATTGAAAAAATAAAAAATGGCAACTGCACGCGGTGTTCCCAAGCGGTCACCCATCCAAGTACTAACCGCGCCCGACAGTGGTTAACTTCGGTGATCAGACGAGAACCGGTACGTTCACTGTGGTATGGCCGTTGCCTGCGTACAATACATCATGCTAGCTGAATGTTTATATATAAAAGGTTGTCTAGGTTCGTACGCAACCATACTTCGCATTACGTCACATGTGGAAAATAATACCGCCAAACAATTCAAATTAAACAAATGCATGGAGCACCACATGGCCATGAGGTTGCGTGCGCAATCCGTGATCTCTTACGTCACGAAACACTCCTGCTCTTGCCCCTCGGCCACAAATTAAAATCAAAGTATTGCAGCATAGGAACTTAGACAACCTTTAATATATAAACCTTGATGCTAGCTCACGTTTGACCATAACAGTGCTATTTCAGATTTGCTGGATGAAGTATTTATATGTTTAAATGTTCGTCGTGAAAAACACTGCATTAGATACCTCACATACGTGTCGGACTATGTGTTGCATTATGGCGTAGTCATGAAAAGGATTTCCCTTTACTCCAACAACTAGGACATAAAATCCTATGTATTCCTGCTTCCAGTGACTCAAGTAAATGAGCGTTTAGTTTCACAAACGGACGATAGAGAGACAAGTAGGGGAAGTAAGGGAGAGAATATAGATGTCATTCCGCAGGAATATTTTAGAATGCACATTTTAGCATTCAAATTGACAGTGAAATCTTTTACAAGATACATGCGTTATGTAGACGCCGAGACAGTTGTGCTACCGAGGCATGAGTTGAAGTACACAGTAAGGAACAAAATGTACAACTTTTTTCTATGTATACCCATTATTTAGGAATGCACGGCAGCTAAACTATATAATAAATAACCATAACAGACAGTGAAATATTTTATAATATACAAGTACTATTTATACGCCGAGGCAGCTAAGCTGTCCAAAAAAGGGTTCACCTACACAATAAAGAGCAGGTAGTACATACAACTTTTTTGAATACATCCATTGTTTATAAGCCGAAGCTGTATAGATTGTAAAGCATCGGCTTCGGTTTATCTAATATTTAATGAATTTTTGGAAAATAAAAAAAGGCAACGGCACGCGGTGTTCCCAAGCGGTCACCCATCCAAGTACTAACCGCGCCCGACAGTGGTTAACTTCGGTGATCAGACGAGAACCGGTACATTCACTGTGGTATGGCTGTTGCCTGCGTATAACACATCATGCCAGCTTACATTTGACCTTAATAATGCCACTTCAGATTTACAGGATGATGTACACCACTTCCGGTGTAACCACATGTACCCGGAATCTGAAAATATTTCAGTTAAAAAGCTCGCATCAAACATCATAATTTTCAAACCCCTACTTCATTTAGTTCTCTATATAGTTATAATGGATGGTCGTCGTGGATGACCTGTATAATATATTACGATGGTGGCGAAGTCATGATAAAGTTTTCCGTTATTCCACCAACCAGGACGGAAATCTTATATATTCCTGCTTCCAGCGCCTCAAGCGAATGAGCGTTCAGTTCCGCAAACAGAGTGTTAGAAGATAGGAGAAGTAATCTGAAGGTTTCTTGAACTTTAGTTTTTCAAGTTGACAGTGAAATCTTTTACAATATAAATGGATTATTTGGATGCCAAGCTAACTGTACTGCCGAGACATGAGTTGAAGTACACAGTAAGAAACAGGAAGTAAATTCTTTTCTCAATATGTATCCATTATTTAAAAGCCGAAGCAGCTAAGCTGCAGAGACAGTTTTGTAAAAGTATGTTGTTTAGAGGTTGAAGTTGTTCTGCAGCCGAAATTGTGGAGCACACACGAGTATAGACAGAGGCACTAAAACTTTGAAATCGACTCTGTGATTGAGTTGCTGAGGCAGTGGTTCAAGTACTTAGAAAAAGAACAGACAGCAAAACCTTTTCGAATATACATACTTGACGGTTTGTGTACTCAACAATAGAAGCAGGTAGTATAGTAGACGCCACGAGAGCTGGCAGTAAATCATCATTTTCTGCTCTTACAAATGCCATACGTAGTTCACAAATAGCTAGAGAGTAATGTGTGTTAGAAAGAGATAGCATTAGTTGAATATGTCTGCCGTACAATTCAAATGGCCACGTCGAAAAAGTACGTCTGTTCTTCTAAGGGATGTAACTCTATAATTATAACCTCAAATCGAAACGTCTTGTGAGCATTGTCATGAATCTGTCAGTGTTTTCACAAACCGAAAATGTTTTCTTTGAAAGGAAAATCATTAAATAATATCTTTGACAATGTTTGACATATAACCTCCATTACTACCATAACCTACATTTAAATGTAGGTGGTGAAGTAATCTAAGTCGTACGTCCATATCTTGATTCATACCATTTTTAAGCGATCTGTCACTGCCAGCTCTCGTGGTTTCTACTATAACACACATGTATTATTAAGTCGGCGGATAATGGCATAATATTTGGGAAAATAATCTTATTTATTAAATTATTGAAAAAACAAAAAAAAAGGCAACGGCACGTGGTGTTCCCAAGCGGTCACCCATCCAAGTACTAACCGCGCCCGACAGTGGTTAACTTCGGTGATCAGACGAGAACCGGTACATTCACTGTGGTATGGCCGTTGCCTGCGTATAATACATCATGCCAGCTTACGTTTGACATTAATAGTGCCAGTTCAGATTTACAGGATGAAGTATATTTGTGAAAATACACTGCATTACATACGCTGTGTTTCAATATAATAATATATTATGATGATGGCTGATGATGTATTATGATATAAGGATATCCGTTTATTTCACTAACTAGGACGTAAAATCCTATGTATTCCTGCTTCCAGTGACTCAAGTAAATGAGCGTTTAGTTTCGCAAACGGGCGATAGAGAGAGAAGTAATCTGAAGGGAGAGAATATAGATGCCATTCCGCAGGAATATTTTAGAATGCACATTTTAGCATTCAAATTGACAGTGAAATCTTTTACAAGATACATGCGTTATGTAGACGCCGAGACAATTGTGCTACCGAGGCATGAGTTGAAGTACACAGTAAGGAACAAAGTGTACAACTTTTTTCTATGTATACCCATTATTTAGGAATGCACGGCAGCTAAACTNGAAATCTTATATATTCCTGCTTCCAGCGCCTCAAGCGAATGAGCGTTCAGTTCCGCAAACAGAGTGTTAGAAGATAGGAGAAGTAATCTGAAGGTTTCTTGAACTTAGTTTTTCAAGTTGACAGTGAAATCTTTTACAATATAAATGGATTATTTGGATGCCAAGCTAACTGTACTGCCGAGACATGAGTTGAAGTACACAGTAAGAAACAGGAAGTAAATTCTTTTCTCAATATGTATCCATTATTTAAAAGCCGAAGCAGCTAAGCTGCAGAGAAAGTTTTGTAAGAGTATGTTATGACGTTGTTTTGCAGCCGAAATTGTGGAGCACACACGAGTATAGACAGAGGCACTAAAACTTTCAAATCGACTCTGTGATTGAGTTGCTGAGGCAGTGGTTCAAGTACTTAGAAAATGAACAGACAGCAAAACCTTTTTGAATATACATACATAACGGTTTGTGTACTCAACAATAGAAGCAGGTAGTAACACACATGTATTATTTAGGCGCACTTTTACCATCCTCCTGATAAACTATCTAGAGGATA